TCACACTTCTTTCTTTCTTTCTTTCACTCTCTCACTCTCTCTCTCTCTCACGCACACTTCCTTTCTCTTTCCCATTTTCGATTACAATCAATTAAAATATTAATTTATTTATTTTTACGCGTAAATTAATGTAATTGATTGATTATTATTGTGTTATTATTATAGGTTTTGCTTAATGCATCATCATTCATACAGTATATATATTATGCTTTAATGCCAATAATTAATTAATATAATATTTATATAATCTGTTATTTATTTTATTATTATTGCTGCATCAATTGATGATTTTTATTACGTGTTTTAATATCTTTGTGTATGAATATAATATATTGTAGGTACAGTATGTATATATTGTTTTATATGGTCTTCGTTGTGTTATTGTTAATTTTGATTTATTGATTCATTAATTCATTCATTCACTCATTCATTCATTACTTTGATCAATAATCTCTCTCTCTCTCTCTTTTGAATATAAAAAACAAAAATTAATTAATTTTTTTAAAAATAATAATATTTGTAAAAATAATAATAATTGAACTCCTTTCCTAATTTAATTATCTTCATCAAAAAAAAAAAAAACTAAATCAAAATAAATCTAAATCAAATCAAATCAAAAATCAAAAAACATCAAAATCAATCAATCCAATCAATCAAACAAATAATCAATATATATTATAATTATAGTTAACCCTGAAAATTAAATTAATTTTTTTTTTAGTTATTTTTTTATTTTTTTTACAGTATCACACATTTAAATCAACTCTAAATTTATACAATAATAATAATAAATATATAAATACTCCCTCACACACACACATTCATAAATCCAAATTTTTCACCAAAATTTTTATTTTTTTTAAAAAAACAACAACTTTCAACCAATCAATTATATACCATTATTTAATTTTATTAATTGGTAAACTCTAAAAATTTTTTTTTTCTGCACAAAAAAAACAAACTTTTAATTTTCTTTTCTCTCAATATACAACATTTCTCTTCCATCTCTCTCTCTCTCTCTATATATATATATTTACCGAGTAAATAAAAAACAAACATTCAAATATAAAAATTACACACATATCTACATATATATGTATATTATTATAACACATATATATTATTTTATACATTATAATATAATAATATAATATATATATATATATATATTATATATTTGAATCAAAAAAAAATAATTTTTTTAGATATATATATAAACTTCTAATTCATTAAAAAAAAAATTTTATCCCATCATTCTTCAATTTTTATAAAAAAAAATAAAAAACCATTCAAAAAAATTAATTAATATTTTCTTTTTATATATTTATATAGAATAAAAAAAAAATAAAAAAAAAATACAAAAAAATACTATTTTATTTTATATATTTTTCGTTATATATTTTTTAATTAAATAATCGTATAGTAGATTAATAATCGGGTTTCTACTGCGTACACTCTTTTTTTTCACGTTTTTTTTAATTCTTTTTCTTCTTTAAAAAAAAATAATCGTTTTTTTTTTGATTTTAATTTTTCTTCCTTTTTTTCCTTTTTAATGGTTTCGTCTTTTATAAATATCGTTACGGAGACGAACAAAATTGCAGCAACAGTTGAATCAGGTATAATATCAACAACAACAACGACAACAACCTCTGAAATAATTGAAGCAACAACAGCTTTAACATCAATCCCAAAAACAAAATCTTCGACTGACATAATACTAATAATGCCTTCTCAAATCAATCAAACTAATAAAGATAATATAGGTAATGATAATAATGACAAATCCTCCTCGTCGTCGTCTTTACAACAATCAATTGCTACTACAATTACCGCCACCACATCTGCCGACATAATTGAGATATCAAAAAAAGAACGTAAAGCTTCTGTAATAGATATACCAAACTTACTATGTAGCGATGATTCTTCTTCTGAAATAGTTACAGCAACAACAACAACAACAAACAATTCAACAATTATTGCTCCAAAATTAACCACAAACACTGGAAGCAACAACAATAATAATGACAATGAAGATGATGATAACGATGAATATTCTTATGATATTCAATCTAATAAATCATCACCAATTAATTATCCCTCTACTCATTCTGAAATCGGTAGTGTTGGCGGTATAATTACAAGCGGTAGCAACAGTAGTAGTAATCATGGTTCTCATCATAATCACAACATTAATAAAGATGATCTTTCCAATTCTATCACTCCTAATAGTCCTGCTCAATTATCACATAATAACAACAACAATAATAATGTCGATCTTTTAAAAAAATCTTTAATAATTACAACTACAAGTTATGATTATGAAGACGACGAGGATCTTAGCAATCGATCTTCTTGGAAGAGACAACGTTTAAACAACGATGATAACAATAAAAACGAAAATTCTTATAGATTACCTCCAATAGGAACATTCAATTTTGATTCAACTACCATCAATAATAATAACAACAACACTGCTAATAGTAGTGGCGCTAGTATTATTACTAGCGAGAAATTGACATCGCCGGCCGATTTGACTTCTCATAAACCTTGGTGTCAACTTCATTCTCTTGAACAGTTTGCCGCTATAACTGAAATTTATGCTACTGCAAATAACATTGTTCACCATAACAAAAACATCAAAAATAAAAATAACAACAATAACGAAATGGGAAAGAGAAAGGAAGTGTGCGTGAGAGAGAGAGAGAGTGAGAGAGTGAAAGAAAGAAAGAAAGAAGTGTGA